TTAGATAGATGATAGATTGATTAGATAGATGATAGATAGATAGATAGATAGATAGATAGATAGATAGATAGATAGATAGATAGATATAATTTGCAACCACATCCAGTGGGACAAAAAAATCATTGATGCAACAAGATTTAAAAATGATGGTGAGTGAGCACATCCAACATTTTACTTTGGTTATTTTTTAAACCATCTTCAACAATAGATAAATAAAGTATCCATCTGATCGTAAGCAAGCCTTCCATACCAGCCAAAAGGCAGATGCCGCCCTCAGGAAATGTTGGGGCTTCTGGGAAGGAAATGCAAGGCACGAGGGTCCTTATTTGAGACACTGATGCCTTCTTCCTGTTGCCCGTTATGGACTATGCCGCTGCCCAATAATGAAGGTGATTAATTTTCAAATTTTAAATGTCTCAATTTTAAAATACAAATATTTTAAATAAAGATAACTGTGTGGAGATATTTTGAAAGGAAAATAAACATGGCAACATAACCCGCATTGCTTACTTTTCAGTGGATGTTGAGTAGATCGCTTGGGCAATTGGCCCCTAATAGCACCAGGCCTTTCTCTGCCAGTTTGTTTATTGTTTGCAAGGCTAAAAGTTGGCATCTTTTGGGTGTGCAGGTGTGTTGTTTTTTTTTAAGCCTAAATTCTGCTGAGCCATAAAGCAGAAACGCTGCCCTCTTCTGGTCACAGAAGTCTTCTGCAATGCAGAGCATCACCCAGAGGCAAATTCTATTTAGATCGGGCGAATTTGTTAATGTTTTGAAAACAGGAACATAGGAAAAAGATGCGGTTGATGAAGCCCTTTTCGAAGCAATTTCCGTCTCCCACCTGTAGACTCTAAAGACAGTGAAATGTAAGAAGGAAGCAGTATTCATCTTTAATTCAACAACCTCTCTGACTTCCCTATGTGAAATCCTTTGCAGCTGTAAACTTCGTTTGTATCTTTGTTATATTAATTGTTAACTTTTCGTGAAATTCTCCATTTAATTCCACGACCTTCTATTTCGTTGCTTTTCCTGAATCGTGAAGGGCCACCATGCTGGGGAATGACTTGTACCTCAACTTTATTTTATACAGCTCAAGGCAGTCTACCTGATGCTAAAGAGGGGCTTCCTGCGTCCCCCACCCCGAGAGACCCACATTCTGAGGGCAGACCGAGGGGCTTCCTAACCGATGCCTGGTTCCCAGGAGGGGAAGGGAATGTGGAAGGGAATTTCAGGGCTCTGAACCAGAGCATTTGGGAGAAGGGTGCCTGGCAGGGAGAGCTGTACATGCTGGGGCTGCACTGCCCCATTCCTCCACCCACCCCCCAGTGATCCCCAGGGTGCTTGCCCACCAGATGGGAAGCCCGGAATGAGGCCCTGGCATCCTTTATGGGGAAGGGGAAGCCTGCAACAGAGGCCATGATGAGGGTCCTTCCTTCTTCCCTGGGAAGGAGAGAAGTGGGGGAAGCATAGAGTTGGAAGAGGCCTTAGAGGTCCAACTTCTGCCTTACATCCTTATTTCAGAGCATGTTCATTTTTGGAGCGTTTTTGTTTAATGAATTGCTGCTCATTTGTTGCCTGGCAGACCAACCAGCCTGCCTCACAAATTAATATAGCTGCAAAGAAAGAGGAAAGACGGCTTAACTTGTATTGTCTCTTTATTTATCCTAAATAGACAGGACAGAGTAAAAAAACAAAAATATCTTGAACTGCAGAGATAGGCCTGAGTAGTTAACCAGGCACTTGGTCAAAAGATCCATTGGAGGAGATCGCATCCTTCTGGACCCAAAGAGTCACGTGGATATGAATGCAAATCCAGAAATGCTGCTGTGGCTCACACCTCCTTTGGTGACACAGCACAGAAACGTACAGATGCTTTCCAGTATACACCGCTGTTGCAACAAGATGCAGTAAGCTTTTTACACATCTGCCGGGGCAGACGTCGGAGGCCAAAGAATAAGGAACAAGAGTGACTGACTGACATTCATTCTGCCACTCACTCCAAGAGTCAGAGAGAAACAGGAGACAAATAATAGCAATAGGGTAATAAAAAAATATTGCACTTAAATTTGAAAGGAAACTCAACAGGGAGACATTCTCACAGATGTGGTGTCCCACTAGAAGGCTTCAATAAATAAACTTAGCAAGGATTATCATGGCTTTCAGAAAGTGGGAGAGAAGCAGGAGGATTCCTTGTCTGTTGCAGTTCAGAGGGAGCTTTCTGTCCAAAGAAGACATGCCAAGATTCAAAAGCGGAAGTCTGCAAGGGACCCTCCCACTCCCTCTTGCTCTTTGAGGATGTGGCCCATTCATGAAAGCCACGGATGCCCCAAGACAGGTCTGCGTGCATCGCACTGCCACCTCCAGAAGGGTGGAAGGAAGGCTCTGGACTTCACAGTCGTCCATTGGAAGACCTGCTCCTTTGCAGCTTCGGGTGCTCTGACTTCATCGTACCAGAGGAAAAAGCAGGTTGTCGGGAAGAAGGAATAGTAAAGCTACTTAGTTCTGTCACCCCGAGGCCCCTTTGGGTGGGAAGACAGATTTATTTATCCAGACAATCCCATGGCCAAAATGGTAATTATTTGTAAACATACTGCTCCCCGGGAGTTTCCTGGAGGGAAGCCTAGCATCTTCTATCTACAGTGAAGGTTTCCTCGGGTTAATGAGGTCCAAGTACAGCTCTGAGCGCAGGAAGCGGGGGTAGGAGTCCTTCTCCATCAAGCCATAAATCCGCCTCTGGGCAAGGTCAAAGCAGCCCCAGCTGATGTTTTGCAAGTTCTCTTTGGTGTGTTCCCGGGTGTAGGAGTCCAAATTGACCTAGAGCAGGACGGACAGACACTGGTCACCGTCAGGCTGCCGCTTATTCGGAAGCTCAAGGGTGACATTATAAGGGACAGGTGAACAAAAAACTGCAGCTCATTGTGTCCTGCGCTAAAACAGAGACAGTGTCATTTTTGGTGAGTGGCATAACGTCTGCTGGAATTATTATCTAGTCACGAAGTAGGCTTCAAAAACCTGCCAGACCTATTCTGACCTTACGATGCACAGAAAGCAAAAGAAGAGGAGAAGGAAGAACCGATGCCTCCGGGAGCATCTTTCCAGATTTCATGGGATAAAGTTATGGAACCGATTTAAGAGCATCTTTTCCAAAAGGTTCCTTGGCCTCGTTTCTCTGATGAAACCACAGCAGAGGTTTCCATTCAGAAGTTTTGAAAATGTGCTTAAAGTTCTTTATATTCCACACTCGAGCTGAGTAAACTTTCTACAAGCTGTCTGCACCCCAACAAAAACCCAACATCCCTTCTACTGCTTACCTCTTTGTAGGACTGGACCGCAATGTATTCGGTGAAGATCTTCTTGGCTTTGGCGATCATCTTGGACTGGGACTTGATGTTCTTGTATTCCTCACATGCCAGCCAGAACTCCAGGTTCTCCTCACTGAACTCAGTGCGCAGGAAAGAACGGAAGGCAGCCACTCCATCTGAGCAGGGATGAGAGGTGGCTTTTGTCAGAGGGCCTTGTGCTACAAAGGCACGGAGGCTCCTTTGGCACAGCCACCTTACAGGGGAAACAGACGGCATAAGAACGCAATGAATAAAAAAGGGGGAGGGTTCTGTTTCTGTTTCTTCACTCTCAGTTAAGCAACTTTTATGTCAAGAAGCAGATTCTCTCTAAAGAAAATGTTAAGGGCTTTGTATCCCTTAGGAGAAGTTGGATTAAGGGCACTTTGGTTTGATTCAATATCTCTGGGCATGTGACAAGAGGCTGTTCCAAATTTCTTTAAATCCAGTCTCTCCAAGAGATAGGTGGTACAGATGCTATACATCTGTCTCTGCACAAAGCTTGCAGAGCAATCACCTGGCATGCAAAAGCCCTCAGGCCAACTTGCTGCACCTCCGTGGGCACTGAGGGGGGGGGGAGTAAGAGTGATGGGAAAATGTGCTTTGGTAGCCCTGCTGCTGGTCACAGCAAGCAACACCTGGCGACTCTCTGACTTGGCGATATTATTATTAGCAAAAGCTTTCTACTTTAACAAAAATTATCCTCTTGGCACAAAGAAGTACCCAGGTCCCATAAACCGAGGCAGGAATAGGAGAGGAAAGGGAAGGAAAATAACTGCTACCCTAAAGCTTTGTTCTATTTCCATCCCTGAATGTTTAAGATCTGAATTTGGAATGAATGGGTGAGAACTTACTCAAAAGCTCTGGCAAAGGGGAAAAGAAAAGAAAAATGCTGTCCAATCTTTCACAATTTTAATTCAAACACATACAGCAACCTGACTTTTGAAACTCAAACCCAGAAAAGGCTCCTTACATTTATGCTGCAGCAGCTTTTCCAGCGATTCCCCCCACTTGAGAGCTTCTTCAGGAGGGGGCCTGAAGGGAGGCAAGGGATGGGGGAGAAGTTAAAATCACACGTCACAAAAGCCCCCCCGTGAAAGATGGAACCACTGTGGGAAGAAAAATAACTCCCCACCACATGGATTTATTAAAACGTCTCCTCTTTAAAACTGGAACAATCCTAGAACAAAAATAAATACTTTGACCAAACTAACTTGAAATTTGGAACTTTATTTAACCTGCCTATCATACTCTTCTGCCGTTCAGAGCCAAATATAGTTTGCCACAACCCCATCCCCCCTGTACATTTCTGTCCTTGCTGACTCCATGGCTTCCACCACTTCACTCACAGTGTCCTGAATGTGTGTTGTCTCCAGTCTAGGGATCCCAGAACAGGCCAGGTGCCTGGGACAAAACAGGGCTTTGGCTGAGGTTGTGGCTTATGGGTCAAAAAGTGCCCCTCCCTTCCCCATTGGCAGCCAGTGCTGAGCGTGACATGGACACAACTGAGGCTGGCATCCACACCTCTGGTATCTCAGCTTTTCAATCAGGTTTCCTCCTAGGCAGGAGGCTTTGTCTTCAGGGGTTGTTTCATTACCACAATCGCCCAAGTGGTTTTCCATCTCGCATCTTGGGCAGCGCCCCCCCCCACTCCCCCTTGCCTAGGAGGGAAGTGTTCCCCACCCCCGGCCGTTTTGCTTACCGCTGAGGCTTCATCCCTTTGTCGGCCTTGCTCTCAGGCTGGCTCCCCAAGGCTTCATGCCGCTTCCGAAAGAGCGCCAGTCGGTTCTTGACGTCTTTGGCCCTGCAAGGAGAGGAAGCCGGGAGGGAGGGTGAGCATCCGAGGCCAGCTCTTCAGGCCTGGGGAAGACCTGCTCCTCCGCTCCCGACGCCGCAGCCCTTACTCTTAACGCCCCCCCCCCCACACCAATCCCAGGCAGCCCTTTGCGCAGCCCAAGCGAGAGGCGCTGGGCAGACGCGCATCGGAGCAGCCAGACGGAATCTCTGGGGAGGGGGGATTCCTACGTGGGGAGGCGGGGAGGGGGCAACGTACTCCTTGGTGGTGTGCCGTCGCTGCAGGCCCCCTCCCCCGCGGCCGCTTCGCCCCGGAGCGCCCCAGAAGGTCTCGGCCTGGAGCCCCGCGGGCGGCGCTTTGCTTGGGTCGCGGAAGAAAGGCATGGGCCGGGCCGGAGGGTGCAGCCGGCCAGCCGCTTCCAAGAGCCGCGCGTCCCTCGCCGAGCGGCCGCCGCATGTGTGACTCACGCCGGAACGCCGCTATTTCTGGCCGCCGCAGGCACCAAACCGCCGCTATTTTTAGCCGCCCCGGGAAGGGAGCCCGGGCTCCGCGGGGAGGGGCTGCGCCGGTGGAGCCCAGAGGCGGCGCTGCTTCGGCCGCCCGCCGCTGCGTTTCCCCTTCCCCCCGAGTCGGGCTCCGGCTCTCCGCTCCTAGCCGGCGCGGCTCTTCTCTCCGCCAGGAGACGGCGATCAGCCGCCGCAAAAGCCGGCAGGGCCGGCACCGCCTCTGCCCACGGCTGCCTGCCCGCACCAAGCCGCGCCACGTTCTTGTCCCGGCCCCCGCCGCTGCAGCCCCCCTCGGGCAAGGCCGGGAGTGGAGCGATGCTGCCCCCTTCAGGGCGGCAGGAGGAACAGCAGAGGGCGCCGTGGAGGTCCTGAGCCCTGGGGCTGCTCCGCTCACCCAGACGCCCCCCCCCATTAAGGAGCGTCCAGAGCAGGAAGGGGAAGCCTATGGGAGGCAGCCCCGCCTTCAACTCCCCCAAAAGACCGGGCTCCTAAGGGGACCCAAGGCCCCTGCTGACCAGAGAGGGAAAGAGACCCCCTGGGTCAAACCTGCTTTCTTCTGGGGTGGGGGAGGGGGTGCGGGGGACAAGGGGTCCCAGCCGTGGCAGCTGTGGCCTCTAGAAAGTGGCTCTCAAGCCATTTGGGTGCACTGACCCTGTGGCCACCAATCGCGCGCTTGGGTTAACTTGGGTTAACACCGGCTCAGATCAACACCAAATTGTGCCGCTGGCTTGCAGGCAGGCGATGAGGAGGAGGAGCTGTTAGCAAAGCATCTGGGAGGTCTGGCTAGGAGGAGGGGGGTGAACCCTGCATCACTCTAGAGGGACTAGGGGGGCCCTGTCCTTTGCAGAAGGACCCCCACAGATGGCTTTTCCTTCAGGGGTGGGGGAACACTCTCCCCAAGGGCAACCGGCCCCTGCAGCGTTAACAGGAGTCAGGACAAAGGGGAACTCGCTTCTGATTCCCAGCCCTGTGTTCTCCAGAGAGACGCCTCCACCCACTCAGTCTATTTGAGGGAAAGGACCCACAACTTGATCAAAGCACAGTCACACTTACATTGTCTTGTTCATCTTGTGGGCCCCTCTTGAGTCACAGAGTCCTTCAGGATCCAGCCCCTGCTGCTGCTGCGGCCACCATCACCGCAATGGGAAGAGGGACGGGGAGACAGAAAGGTAAATTCAACCGAGGGAGACATGAAAGAGTTAACTATTCTCGACAGTGTTGCTGTTGCTCTCCTTGGCTTCCTCGGAGGGATCGGACCGGGGCAGATGCTTACTAACATTGCAAGAGAAGCCAACCGACCGTCCTTTCCAGAGCAGGCCTCATTTGCCAGATCGAACTGCACACAGAGGAACTGGCTTGGGAATCTCCTTGCTGGGCCTCCCCCGCCACCCGGAACCGGGGCCAACCGTGGGAAACCACGTCTTGGTCAAGCACCACCAGCCCAGCCCTCGGAGGCTTCCTCTGCTGCTAGGCGAGGCTTCCGGATCTTATCAGGCCCAGCGCTCCCTCTCTGCCTGGCAAGGACATTCCTGGGCCTTTCGGGTGCGCCAGATGGGCTCAAGTGCCTTTCCTCCGATTGTTGAGAGGGGTTCTCCGCTCCCGAGCAGGAACTGGCCAGGGCTGGCCTCTTCCGGCAGCAGGCAGCCGCCATAGACGGCAGACTCTTCTGCTTGGCACGTGGGGTTGTTCTGCTCACCACCCACCTGACGGTGTGTGACAGGAAGAGGGCAGGAAGAGGGCCTTGGCTCTGGGGAAGGGGGCTGGCCGGCCCTGAGCTTTCACTCTGCTCCCCTGCAGAAAATAACCTCGCAGGACCAGCATGAAGAGGGGCCTGGTCCATAATTCATAACAGGCATCAGGTGGCCTCCTTCCTTCTTCAGTATGGAGCCTCTGATGAATCCAGTTAAGGAAAAGGCCCACAACTTAATGCCAGAGACCCCAAATCCCCGCTCTTCCTCTCTGTCCCTGCCCCTCCCCCTCTTCCCGGGGACCTGCTTTGGGAAAGGCAGCCCATTCTCTTCTGCCTTGGCAGGGAGTAGCCACCCACAGCTGCCGAATCCCTCTCCAGAAGCCAAGCAAGCATCTCTGGGCATTTCAGAGCAAACTCTGCTGGAGAAACGAAAGGCCCAGCAGTCGTTCTCTCCCGCATCTCTCCGGAGTCGCCAGTTGTTTGGGGCGCATCCCCTAGGGGGCAGCCAGCACACGTTGTGTGTGCAAACAGGGATGAGGATGATAGGCACAAAGGAAGGCCAGAAGAGGGAAGCCAGCAGCCCCGCAGGGCAGGAGTTTTGCAAAGTCCTTTCCTCCAGAGCTCCTCCATATCTGCTGCATCACACAGGCTTCAGGCCCTTATTTTCACAGCAGGCAACGAGTAACTGATGGGGCTGCTGTTAGCCTGGCCAGGTTGGACACGGAAGCTGCCCATTTATCTTGCAGTTCAAAGTGCTCAGCCGGCAGCATCTTGGACGTCCCTGGGACAGCTGCCCAGCCCAACAGCGTCCCCAGGCTGCTACTGGTGGCTGTTCCCGGCAGTTCCAGTCAAACCCCGAGCAGCTCGACCGAGATTGGCTGAAGGTGGCCCTGGAGCTGCCTTTCCGAAGACGCCCCAAGAGCTGCTGCTTTGAGGAACGCCCTGCTGTCTCTGAGCCTGCCCTGCAACCCTACAGCCGACCAGCCCTGACTCTGCTTAGCTCCCCAGCCCAGCAGGCGGTGGAAGCTTGCAAATGCCCGCTTCTCTTCCCAAATTCAAAGGCAAAAAAATGACCCTGCATCAAACAGATCCCCGGGGGCATTTGTGCTCCAAATAGGTGAACCCCCCCTCCAAAAAAAGTTGTCTTCAGTTGACAATGCAACATTCAGGAAACATGTGTCATTGTCCCCCAGTCTTTTGTGTGCTTTTTTAAACAGAAATGAGATAAAATGTTATAATTACATTGCTACATTGAAATGTTTTAAGTAATCACTAATAGCATGAAGAGCTGAGCAGGAGAGAGGGCTGAGCGGAAGGAGGATATGAAGTCAAAATGTAGTGGATAGTTCAGAGGGAGGGAGGGAGGGAGGGAGGGAGGGAGGGAACTGCCTGGCCTCTCCGCTAACAAGTTCTCTAGGAAGAGGAAGTGAGTTCTCAGGCAAACCTTCCAAGCTCTTCTCCACCACACTTGGTCTCCCTGCACCCCAAGCTCCTGCCAAGCCCCCTGCCTGTCCGGGAGGCCCCTTCCCCAACCTCTTTAGAGGGGGAGGCGGAATTTCCCTGGCTGATGTCAGAGGCTCATCTGAGCTCCGGACCCTGGCCGTTTCTTGAAGCTTCCTGTCGTTAATTGAGTTAAGTACAGAGGAGCTGGGAGCCGAGAGCTCTGTCAAGGGTGGGTTCCAGCTGAAGCAGCCACGGCTGCCGCCCTACAAGAACCGATTCGGTGGTTGACCTGCCGGACAGAGAACGTGGCTTGGTCTTTAGCTGCTGTATTTGTACCTTATCTGGGAAACAGGCATGAAGCATCGGAGAGTGGATCCAGAATTCCCTACCTTTCAATTGTGAGGCCCAATGGAAACAAGGGGCGGGAAGGTCTTCCTCCCAAGGAGGGCCAGTAAATCTGGCATCGCCACTTAGAAGCCTGGAAATGCATTTGTCAAACTAGCCCTCTAAATAAACTTGGAAACTGACATTTCTGGTGTGCCAAGAAAGTCTCCTGTGGTCCAAAGGCCTCGTCCAGCCTTCCCCTCGGAGACCCCCGAAAGGAAGCCAGGAGGCCCGAAGCCACCGCAGGTGCAGGGCAGAGCCAGCGGAGACCATGGCACGCGATTCGCATTCAAGATCATTTCTACCCTGAACTTTTTCTCTGGCTCTTTCTGCTCCAAGAGTACTCTCAACTTCACACATACACACACCCATATTATCACACACAGAGACACCCTTGCCTACCTTCCGATTCCCAACAAAGAGCAGGGTGAGTTGGTGGATGGAGCCCCCGTTCTTCAGAAGCTGTTTCTTGAGGCTCTGTGGAGATGGCAGGGTCCAGCCGGAGGTCGGCCCTTGCATCTCGGTGTAATTGAGGCTGGTGTCGGAGGTGAAGCTGTGGCCCGCTCGGGGCTCCTGGAGCAGGCTGCCTTCGCTGTGAGTGCGGCGCCGCAGGGAGTTCTGCACACTCAGGCTGCAGGCCGGCTGAGACGTTTCAAACAGGCTGCAGCGTTTTCTGTCCCCCCTGGCCAGATAAGCCTCACTACTGTCCTCCTCCTCTTCCTCCTCCTCCTCCTCCTCCTCCTCAGCCAATTCCTCTGAACCGCTGAGCTTGAGGCTGGTGAGGCAGGTCAGGTCTTGACTGAAGGCACCGTCCACCTGCAACTTTGGGATGACGAAGGCAGTGGAGCCGCTGCAGGGCGCTTCCTGTTCCTGCCGCTCAAGGTGGCGGCTCTGCCTTCCCTCTTCCATCGTGATGCCCTGGACTTCTGCCACAGCTTCCCCCGTCAGCCCCTCTATGGAGTTGCCTCTCACCGGATAGGCAAGGCGGCGGCTGCTGTCGTCCTGCCCCACAGATGGCACTGCCCCTAATTTCGCAGTTTCTGGCTCAAGCATCTGGGGGAAAGAAAGGGGAAGGGAGATGAGCCCACTGCATGGTTGGAAATGGGATCAAAAGTTTCCCGTGTCCCGAGTGACCCTGGAAAGGTCAGGCAGAGGCCGATGTCTCTGAACAACCACAGACACTTAAGCACCTCAGATACATGGGGAGCATTTCCTTCCTTCCTTCCTTCCTCCCTCCCTCCCTCCCAATAAGGGACACAGTGGTTGAGACTGCTTCTTCGGGGGCGCTCGCCTCCCCTCCCCTCCCAGTCCTTGCATAAAATGCCTCTCCTCCCCACCCAAATACAATTCTATGTTTTGGAACCGTGAAAATCTGGCACAGAGCACTAACATTAACCAGCATACAGGCCGGCATATATTACGCTTTCCATATAGGAGGCTGCTCAAACTAGGGTCTGTTCCGACCACAAGCAATGATCTACTGATGTAGCATTTGCTCCTAAATTTTGTGTGAAAGGCCCTCCCACTTCCAAATTATATTCTGAAAATCACTCTCAAAAGCCAACTGGGAAGACGCTCCCCCTTCCCCTTTCTGATCAATGGCCAAGGGACTGGCAAAGAGGCTGGGACGGGGCATGGCAGCTCCCCAAAAGAGTCAGGGGCTGGTCTTAAATTCCCGGCACACGGGTGCTGGGCTTCTGCAATCTCAGGGTGGGGAGTGACCAGCTTGCAAGAACTTACGGATTGTAGGTGCTTCTGGCCGATGTTTCTGGGCGAGGGGTTTGTGGGTAAAGCCAGGCGAGGCAGTGATTACCTAAACCCCAAACCTGGGACCGGCCCCACTGATTTCTCTAGAAACCACAGGACTCGCGCGTCCTTCTCCAAATGAGCTGTTTGAGCTCACTGAGAGCTGCTGCCGGTATTTGCCCACAGCTGATCTGAGTCTTCTGCTGCTGCTGCTGCTGGCATCCCCTGCCTTGGCTCTGTGTCCCACACTAGCTGAGATGCTTAATTGGACAACGGAGGTCCGGATGTAAACAAGGCTTTTAGCTCAGGAAACAAACACAGCTGGTCAGGTTCCAACCTGCCTCCTTTGCTCAGTGGGAGCAAATTACGAGAGATATTCCTTTGGGGAGGGGAAGGTGGGCAGGAGACCTAGGAGTGGGATGTAAACACCCTGTTGCTCAAGCAGCCCTTGTGCCGCATCATGGAAGGGGCCTGGGGACTTCCCCTCGGAACGGAGGCCCATCACACACACAACACATCCCATTTTTCCACTTAGCTGAGCTGACTCATAGGCCTTTGGAGGAGGGTTGATGCCACAGGAGGTAGATTTTAAACATTTCATATTCTCCCCAACTTGCCAGAAGACCTGGAGTTAAAATCCACTTGCTCTCCGTCCAGAGAACAACTTACAGGAGAGACGAGGAAGAATAAAACCTGACATATTCAACAGTCCAAATTTCTGCTTCCAATATCCCCAGAAATGTAGCCGTGGGCAACCAGTGGCTAATGCTGGTGGTAAATATGGAAATATGCTCTGGCACTCTCGGTTTGGGTAAAGGGCTGGCACCCAGGGGTTTTAAGGCCAGAAGTCTAGTCCGGCACAGCCACGATACAGAGCGTCTTCAGCGTTTCTAGCAGATAGAGAAGTGAACCTGTGATGCTTAATGGGGTGATCAACTGGATCAATTTCAAAGTTTTAAGAGAAAAAAATAAGGCCCTCCAGACCTAAGCCAGGTAAAGCCGAGTTGCCATGCTTGGGCTGGGCCTTAGAACGCTTAAAGTAATGACGGAGGGCGGCTTTTAGCGTATGGACACATTCCTGCCTCCTCTGTAGGTTACACAAGCACAGAACAAGCCCCACCTCTGCCTCAGCTGTCCAAGCTCACCTTCATGGTGTGTGGGGAAGGGAGGGGGGGGCAAGGTGGCCAGGCCTGAACTCACCTGCCCCAGGTAACTTTCTGGTGGAAGTTTCCATAAAATCTTTTTATGTTCCTCTCCCCCTCCCCCCCTTAAGCCATCCTCCTCCTCCTCCAGCTGCCACCAGCCACTTTGCGACCTGCTCCCCACCACCACTTTCCTGAGATGCCCCATCCTTCTGACATTCCCCGAGGCTGTTCCTGCTCCCTCTGCCTTCAGCCACTGTCTTTCTCAGCCTGTAGATCAAGCAAGCTGAAATAGTTGCTGCTCAATTTATTTTGGTGCCAGAAGCAGATTCATGCCGGGGAAGGATGAAACACCCGAAAACCTACCCTGCTCATTTAGTGTCATGGCTAAGCCCCCTGTCCTCAGCCTTGTGACATCACTCCTTCCACAAAGCATGACTTCAGAGAGGACCACCGCACACATTGTTCTCTTGCCACAACCACTGCATATTCTTCCCCAAACTAAGTACAAAACACAGAGTCCCCTCCCCACTTTAACCTTAGTAGGGAGGGGCTGTCTGCAACACCGTTGAATTTCTCCAGGTGGGGAGGCATCGTACAAACCCGTAAGAAACAGAAGCAGCCCCTAACCACAGCACAGCACAACATCAACACAACGTGAAACATCTAAAACACCTGGGTGTTTATCTCCTACCTCCACCGGAGATTCCTGGAGCCCCTTCCAATCCACAGGACTTGAAGCGTGTGCCCTGCAGTTGACAGGGCTTTCCCTGAAGGGCTGGCTGGGGAAGAAGGGGGCACCCCAAGCCTAGCCTTTGGGGTAGGGGGCGGTCGTTTCAAAGGTGCCCCAGATTAGTCTCATCCAAGGTGAGTAGGAGAGGAGGCAGCCGCTGCCTAGGTGGGTGTCCAGGCAGAGGGGAGGGTTCCCCCAAATAGGGACTGCCCCCCAGAGAGCCGGCTCCAGCTGCTACTCACCAGCTCTGCCTGCCCTTTCGTGCGGGCGCCTGTGAGAACGCAATACTTGCTGAGGATTTTATTGGCCTCCCTAAGTCAGATCATCATTGGATTAAGTGCAGCCAGGAACTCTGCCAGAAAGCAGCCAATTCTGATTATTCTCCTAAACCGCCAGAGGCAGGACTGAGTGATCAGCTGGACAGAGGTAGGCACCGTTCGCTTGCTCCCACTCTCCCTGGGAACAAAGGGGAGCCTTCATCATCAGCCAGGTACAAGGAAACAAAGCCTGCAAATGGCCCAAAGCCCCCCAATGTTCTTCGGCTTCTCTCTGCCACTCCTCTCCATCTCTCTCGTACGGCTGGACATCCCAAGTAGGGCGAGTCCCTGCCTGGCTGGTGGCTGTGACAGCACCTGTGCCTTGCCAAGAAGAAGGCAAGGCAGACCCAGGGAAGAAGACAGCGCCAAGAATACGGCAGCACAAGGGCCAAAGCCAGCCAGTAGGCCAGCCCCGCGACCCCCCTCAGGGAGGAAGGAGGCTGCCGATTCTGACTTGGCCTGGACCAGAGCAGGGCTGTTCTTGGGGCCATATAGTCCATGCACTGAGGAGGGTCCTCCCTGACCGGCTTTCCCCCCTTGAGCCACACCCCCGTGTTAACTGTCTGCACTCAGTCATGGGCCTTTGCCCGCCGGCCCTTCCCCTTGCTGCCCCTTACCTTGCTTTCCGCCGGAGGGGCTGTCGGAGTTGTTCTCGGCTGCTGCTTCACGATGTTCTCAATCAGACACCAGCACACCCTGGTCTTCTGCTCGCGGAAGTGAGCCTGCAGGCTGAGCACACACTCCAGCTCCTAGCACACAGGGACACAGAGGCCGGGAGAAGTCGAGGGGAGCAAGGCCCACCTGCGGCACCTGGTTCTCCCCCGGCGGCAGCTTTTCTCTCTGGGTTGCCTGCCCACCCGGGATACCAGCTGATCAGGAGCCCTTTGCAGCAAAAGTAGCTGCACACACAACTTCGTAAGCTGAATGCCAGGAAAGAGTCCCGGGGGGCTTTTACTCAAGTCTGCTGGTTAGTTTGCTTTTCCTTTGCAGGGTCAGGGTCCTCCTCGCCCTGCCGGAAGCGGAGGCAGAGTTGCCAATGCAGATCCCTTCTCCTGTACCTGCGGAGGGCAGCACTGAGCAAGGGTTGCTGCCTCCCCCCTCCAAAGGACTCGAATTGGGGAAACGGGCACTGCACACCCTCAAGGGCACATGTGTGTCTCTGGTAGCCTGCAGCATCAGTACCTTCTTAGCTTGGAGCAATTAAAAGGGAGGATTTAAAGAGACGGATTCAGATTTATAGAGGCTGCACATCAGCCCAACAAAGGCAGATAATGCAGCATTTCATGCCGACTGTCCAGGAGAAGCTGATGGGGAGCTTCCCACGCACTCTCCATCACAGGCTATACAAAAGCCTGTCCCGGAGTCCCCTCCCCCCCCACCTTGGATAATGGAATTAGCGGCTTGATCAATTCAATTAGGCCAACCAAGAGCAAAGCTCTGCGGATTGACTGCTGGCAAAGCAGAAAGGAAGCTCTTTGCAAGTGGCGCCTTTTCCTGGGCGAGGGCAGCCACCTCCCTCCCTCCCTCCCTC